AAAAAGATTGACGGATAAAGTTAATCCGGGGTTGGATCGATGGTCCGAATTTAATCTGCTCTGCAAGGTAAAATCAAGACGTCTTTCTGGTACAGTGGGTATTTCGACACTTGACGCGATATACATATGTAGAGTATATTGTATATTTAAAAGAGCTCGAGACATGAAAAGCACGATGCTTTATCCATCTTTTCTTTTTTTTTTTTTAATTTTTATTTTGTTGTTGTTTCCTCTTTGTCAGAGGGAAAATGCAATAACGAAATAATTTTGATGATAGAATGTATATGGATGTTGCTGTAAATGCATATTATTCTATATATCCAGAATTTTGCCACCCGAAATATTTATACGGTTACGGCTTCAGCTACAAATATAATTCATTCATAGTTGAACAATGTGTATATATACATATCGCACGCCTGCGGGAGCTTGTTTGGAAAATTTCTAAAAAATACTCAACCATTATTCTCAAATATTAATATTAAAATAAAAAAACAATAATGCAAGGAATATTGAATATTCGGACAATTGTTATCATATTTGTTGTTTGTTTGCATTTCATATGCGAATATTGTGAATTTATTTTATTCTCTAAAATTGTTAGTTATACATGATGTAGAATTTTTTTAAAATATGTTTTTTTAAATTAACATATTGACATGATTTTTCTAAGGATATCAAATTGAGACAAAAAACGAATCAAAATTGTTGCGATGCAACAATTTTCATTCGTTTTTTGTCTCAATTTGATATTCTTAGAAAAACTGTGGATGCATTCTAAGAAAATTTTTATATATGAAACAACCAAATTTTTATAAACCACCGGAATTTTGGTTGAAACAACCACATTTTTTTTTAATCCGCAAAATTTTTATAGTCGAACCACCGAAATTTTGGTTGAAACAACCAATTTTTTTTTTGATTCCGCAAAATTTTTATAGTCGAACCACCGAAATTTTGGTTGAAACAACCAATTTTTTTTTTGAATCCGCAAAATTTTTATAGTCGAACCACCGAAATTTTGGTCGAAATAACCAAATAAATGGATTTCTGTAGAGTTAATCAAACATTAGTTTGGTTTTAAAAATTTGCTTCAGGGACTATATTCTATTTAACAATTTTCTTTTGTTGTGTAACATCAATTTGAAGAAGCCAAAAAAGCTTCTTCAAATTTTGGAATAGATTTATTTTTTGTTGCAGTAGCAAAATTAATTCAAGTGTTTGCTGTTATATTTTACTTTAACAATTAGGTAGAAAATAGAGCAGATCATTTTTTCCATAAATTTTTTTTATAAATATTTAACAAAAACGGTGTATAGGAAAAGTGGCTAACAGGGGTTGTTGTATATTATTGAATGGAGATCGAATAGCTTGCATCCTTCATTAAGCAGGAAGGAAAGTGCAGTCATCGACGCTTGCATATGGGTGGTCTGCACATGTAGAGGACATTAGTTTACCCAAAGTCAGTAGGAATTAATTTCACTAATTGAGAGAATGACTGCAAATAGCTTCGAAAGGAAAATTCATAATTAGTTTTTAATCTCAATTTTATTGAATAATTCGACGTGAATACAATGTTTATACACAATCACTTCTTTTTATAATACTATCTAAATTTGAATTAGTAAAAATGTTTAACTAATTTGAATTAGTGACTGACTTTTTGCTTTTGAATTAGTAAATTTTACTATAATAAATAGTAATTTTTACTAATTTATTACTAACTTTGCAACTCCTGATTTTTTTTCTCATCAAATTTAAATTTATTTGATTTCGAACATAAATAAATCTACAAATGGCTTCAAAAATTTTTATTAGGGTTTTTATGAATAATTAAATTCTTTTGCCGAGAAATAATTGAATTTTTGAGAAGAATTTTTTTTATAGTTTCTAGAAATAATTGAATTCTTTCAAAGAATTTTAATAAAATTTTTAAGAATAATTATACATTTTTCGAGGAATTCCTGTAAAATTGTATTAAAAATAATTGAAATCCTGCGGCGAATTTTATTAATTATGTAAATAATTGAATAATTGCAAAGAATTTTATTAAAATTTTCAAAAATAATTGAATTATTGGGAAAAATGTTATTAAAATGTTTAAAAAGAATTGAATATCTGTTAAAAATTTGGTAATTTTTGAAAATAATTAACTTTTGCAAAGAATTTTATTAAATTGCTTCAAAGTATTTGAATTTTCGGGAATAATTTTGTTATTAAATAATTGAATAATTGAATTCTTTCGAAGAATTAAGTATGTAAATAATTGAATTCTGGGGAAGATTTCGAATTGTTAAAAAGTTTTTATATATAGAAATTCTTTAAACAAATTTAATTATTTTCAGTTGAATTTCACAAAATTTCTATCAATTCGATAATTTTTTAAAATTTTATTTACATACTATATATATTTGAATCAGTGACTGATTTTTTACTATCAAATTAATTATTTTTAACTCATTCAATTTTGGAGAACAGTATAAATATCTATAGAAATTGAAATTAAAAGCGATTTTTTAAAGACAAATTAAAATAATAAAACTTTTTCAATTTGATGAAAAAATTCCCGGTTTTGCATAAAATCCCTGGCTTATTCCCGCGTTTTTTTCCGGTCAAATTAAATTCCGGGCTGTTTCACGGACTTTCCGCTTAGCAGACACCCTGTTTTAACATCTTAAATTAAGATGTTGCAAAAAACTAAAAAGTTATTAACTGTTTTTGATATTATTATGGCTTATTTCACAATTCAATTTATTTTCAAGACATTCCACTTTTTGTTAATTTAGTTTATACTTATGTAAATTCCAAATGGTCTTAATTATTATATAAGCGGAGAACATTAACCCTTTACATTTAGATATTAGACTTTAATATCTATAGATATTCAAATAAGATGCTAGTAATTAACGCCTAACATTTAGATATTTACTTTTAATATCTTAGCTGTCCCTGTTAGAGAATAAAAATATTAAAATTTAACATCTAGATATTTTTCTTAAATATCCATTTGTTTCGCGTGTTATTATTTTGAAAAAGTTATCAAAAAACATCTTAAAAAGCATTGATCCTTAAAATAGAGGATTGAAAAATAAGATATTTTAATTATCTTAAAAGTATAACTACAATGTAATTTAAGATGCTTATATTTTTGCAGTGTGTTAATAAATAAACAAACTGTTTACTGTTGATTTAAAAGTATCAAATTATTGCTACGAATTGATAGCAAAAATGTGGATGAAATTAAACATTGACTTAAGCTTTCGATATCAATTTGATACATTAGTTTAGTTTCAATTTGATATACTTTTAAGAAAACTGTGTTATATATGACGAAATAAATCCAGACAAATATTTTCAACATTTCAAGATGTATATAAGTTTTTGCTTCAGTTCGAGTAATTTCAATTACAACTTTATGCCGCTTTAATGCTGCGCGAAGAGACGATGATCATGATGAGGGATTAATAATAAGGAAGTTGCGTGCTGAGATTTATCCGGTGGTACAAGAATCATTTCTGAATATTGAACGGTATATAGTGGTCAAGGTATATGTTAGGCCCAGGGGGGGGTCTCTTTCATTCGGGGTTGCACGAGGTCAAGGGATCAGCTGTCTGGGTTGTATAAGTGTACACGTATGTTGACCCTCACTCGTGATGAATCTAGGTCACGGGGCCGTTGTAGGGTTGACCAACCAAAAGAGAGGAGCATAGGGGGATTCTTGGGGCTCCCCCCGTATCACACTCCCGTGATTATCTAATCGAGGAGCAAATGCCGTCCCTCTTTATTTTAACTTTGTTTCCTTCTAATTGTCCGCGTTGTCCAAATATTCATTGTTGCTGTATATTTCTAATCTTTTGTTATACTTATTCTTGCGTTATGCTGCATATCAATCCGTTTGTTATTTCTTGTTGCTGCATATCAATCAGTTTGTTATTTCTTGTTGCTGCATATCAATCCGTTTGTTATTTCTTCCGTTTTTTAAGGATATCAAATTGAGAAAAAAACGAATCAAAACTAACGTTTTGATTCGTTTTTTGTATCAATTTGATATTCTTAGAAAAACTGTATTTGTGATGTTCATATCAATCCGTTTGTCATTTCTTTCTGCTCTACATTTCGGATTTTATAAATTGTACACACGATTAAAGTAGCATTTTTGAACGCCGCGCGCTATTCAGTATAGGTTAAACGACCTCTTTAGTTTCCTGTCAAATTTAATTTAACGCAGCTTTGATTCAGCTTAAAACCCGAAAATCTTGTTAACTTTGTTGAGATATTTTGTATAGCGCACTTTATATGTGGTACGTTTTCCTTTGTCATTTTTAACAAACAAAATACTATTCACAGGAAATTTTCTCAAATACACATATGAGGTTTACCCATTAAAGTTTACAGTTTAGAAAATGATTTTCGTTTGTGTGCTTCTGAAACTTCAAGTTCGACAGTTTATTTTCTCGATAAGTTAACGAACTTTGTAACTCTCTTGTCGTCTATATGCGGATATAAGTGTGTGTGTGGAAGTTTTTAAAGGGAAATTGGCTCCTTTCATGTGAATTAAAAAGGAAGAAATAAAAAGTGAGTTCTATATGTGAAGAACAAGGAGAAGGGTTGTTTTTTTGAAAGACTAGATTAACTGGAGAATTGGGTCTGGTGGTATGTCGTCTTCAGAAACAACGAGTAGATAATTCCTCTACTTTATTATCCGGCTATGGGGGGCAAAAAGTAGAAACAGCAATGCACAAGATGCCGAGTGCATGAACGATTCTTTTCGTGAGATACAACGATACCAAAGTTTGTAAGCAAGAAACTGCTCTTCGTTATACGTATATGTATATAGAGGAGAGAAGGACGCCTTGGGAGCCGCACAAAGATATTAAGTACCCATACCTATAGTAGGAGGATTGGGACGGAGAGACGAGGAAGAAAAGGAAAGGAGTGGAGAGTACGAGAGGAAGCGGAGTTACCTATAGAAGAAATAAGTGCGCGCGTGTAATGCTGATGGCGAATATGGTGGAGAGGTGCCAGGCCCCCGCGCGCGAGCGAACGATCGATTCGAACGCCGGCGACATTCTTCGCCGGCGCTCGTAGAGACAGAGAACAGTGAAGAGAGACGAGAGCAGAGAAGAGAAGTCGCGAGGAAAAAGAAGAAATCCCCACTTGGGTATACCTTCCAGTCGTACTGTCCTCAGTTCTTGTGTTTGTGTCGGTACGTCGTCGGGTTGGCGAGAACAGTAGTGGGGAATGTACATCAGCAGCCAGCGGTCGTAGGAAGGTTTCAAGGGCGTTACCAATGAGACTGCTCCAACCAGTACCAGGCATTCAAGCCTCGCTCGCTCCGCCAACCGGGTCGACGAGTGCGCGCACAACACGCCCATCCTCCCCGTCCATAGAGCTCCTACTGATGTTTTTATTTATTACATCTGTGACTGGGTAGGGAAATACTCCCAACTCGACCAAGAGAACGTTTGCCACTTTGAGAAGGAACGACGCGCGTCCCTGCGAGTTACCGCCGCAGCCGCCTCCGTCGTTTGCTTTGCTCGGCGTTAATACGTTTGTTCGTTCGGTAGTCGATATTATCGTTCCTTCCAATACGCGTTATCAGTGCAAGGAGAGATCAGATCATCGACCTCGTTATCGATGACCCCATAGTTAATCGGTTCCTCCAACGTTACCGCGATGTAAATACTCAATCATGAACAACAAACAGTGATACAGTGCGGAAGTTTCGTGACAGTGCAATTCGTATATACTAACAGTGAACGTGCGTTTTTGTGATCACAACTTTTTTTGATCCAATCGACGATTTTTTGTGTTTTCTTATATAGTATGCTTTGAAATTGCATTGGAATATTTATTAAAAAAGCTACTTTACCAGAAAGTGTATTAAAAGAACTGAAGGATTTACCTGATGGACCACGGAGCAATGGATAGCTCTTCTGAACACAGTAGTCGAGCCAGTCCAGTTACTGGTAGTCCAAAGAATCCACACAGTCCATCAGTTCAGCAGACTCCACAGCAGCAAATTCATAATTCCCATCAGACACCTTCTTCACATCAGCAACCTCACCCTAGAGATCAATTGCGCGATCATCATCGTCTGCCAACACCTCGATCACCAACAAGAGGATCACCACCTCAAAGTTTGCCACTAAGTCCACCGCCCTTATCGGCCGGTGTCGCTCCTCCAGGCATGGTACCACGTATGCCTGGTCTTCCGCCGCCAGGTTTGGGTCTATTGAGCCAACTTGGTGGCATGCTATCCGGCCATCATGGTTCTCCATTGGAACTTATGGCTGCACATCACGGTGTCTTGCCACCCAGGTCCTACAACAGTCCACCACCAATTAGTTCCAGTGATCCAACTGCTAACGAGTGCCAAATGGTTGAATATCGTGGTCGAAATGTTGCAGCCTTTATCATTAATGGTGACACCATGCTCTGTCTGCCACAAGCTTTTGACTTTTTCCTAAAGAATCTTGTGGGGGGTCTTCATACAGTGTACACTAAACTCAAGAGACTCGATATCGTGCCATTGGTGTGCAATGTGGAGCAAGTTAGGATCCTTCGCGGTCTCGGCGCTATTCAACCAGGAGTTAATCGGTGCAAACTGCTTAGCTGCAAGGATTTTGACGTTCTCTACAGGGACTGCACTACTGCCAGGTACAACCTTTAGATCTGTTTCTACATTCGGGACTATTTTAGGCCTATCGACAAAATTTGTTCTTGAAGAAAGATTTATGAATCTTCAGAAACGAATATTAAGAAAAGTGTATCTGGTTTTTTTCTAGTAACTATTTATACTTCTGTAATGCCCCATAAGGAAAAACTAGTATTTTGGTTTCAAAATCTTATGACCTAAGTGATTGACTATTATCTAGTTTTCCATTGTAGGGCAGTATGAGTATAGATAGTTCTAAATCCATAGTAATAGATAGTTCGTTGGTACCATTCGTATATTACTCTTTTGAAAATCGTGATAAAATCTAGATCATTAGGAGCATCCCTTTCTTCTACTGGACACACTGTACCCATTTTTGGTTCCCAAAAATGGGTACATTTTTGTGTCCAGCAGAAGAAACATTCGAACATTTTTCTTGTTCCCTTTCTACTGCTGGATCCCATTTTCAAAAATGGGTACAATTTTTGGGTTCAGCAGAAGAAAGGAACAAGAAAAATGTTCCAGTACGTTTAGTGCAATTGAAATACGCAAATAAGTAGATGTTAGAAGTATAGTAGAAGTAGATGTTAGGTGAATTGTTGCCTTCAAGTGAAATCAAGATCGTATTGTTGAAAGAGATGAATCGTGACTTCTGGTAGGACGTTGTGCCTCGTGGCAATCACGCGGAAATCAACATAAAAACACAAAATAAGTTGATGCTGACAATCGGCCCTCGACAATTCCAAAGTCGCGCACTGACAATGAATGCAATGCCGAATCGATCATCATCATAAAGATAAAGAACTGCAAACATGCATCTTCCTGGTTCGTTGACTTGTTTATAAAACGGAAGCTCGAATCCTCGCATACATTAATAACACAAGGTGTCGCCTCCGGGCAGCACTTCGTCTTAGCTGCTTTCGCTCTCCAGCTACCAGTGGGCCGAATAATATGCTTTAATTGTACACCACCTCCCGCTTCTTCAAAACTTAATCATCGAGAGAGAGCCCCCCACTTCAAAAAAAAAAAACCTGACCCACTTAATCTTTCTCACACTAGATATTTAAAAGCGATAGATCAATGTTAGTCTTATCGTTTGGAGCTATCTTGTTGGTCTGATCTTCCTCAAGGATATATACAGAAAGACACTCTTAATCCCTTTTCGTGGTTCTTTCCTTTTCTCTGCAGAAATCAGAACTAAGATTGATTTTGGCAGAAGGTTTTGTTAGTATTACAGAAAGACGGACTAATATTGTTAGAGCCTAATTAGTAAATAAATTTTTTATTTAAAAAGTGCGGTATTGTTGCTAAAACGTCTATATTTACGATGCTGATGTAACTCAAAGGGAACGTGAATTCACGGCACGTGCCAGTGTTTCTAGGATTGTCACCAGAATCCGGCGCCAACAGGTGTCCCTTTCACGGTTGTTTCTCTGAATGAATCAGTTTCACAGAGAGAGGAAGAGAAAGAGAGTGTTAGTGTATATGTGTTTGTGAGTGAGCCTGGTTGTTGTACAAGCTTATCCCACCCACACGCGAAACTACAGACGAAACGGAATGGTAAACGGAACGAGGGGATCTGCAATTGCCTGTGAAACTTTTGTCTTCTTTCTGTAACTTTCGATCTTGTTATTTCGTTGAAATTAAAATTATCCGTGGGTATAATGAATATTTTCGTGAATAATTTTTCCCACTTTTTGTTAGGTAGTGTTAGGTATAGTGTTTTTAAATTTTTAAGTTCGAAATCGTCCAAGTTTAATTGAACGGATTTGACGAAACTTGGAGTATTGGACAATAGTTTGTCAGTGGGCAACGCGCAGTGGCAGTCACAACGGAAACGGATTCAACGCGACACAGTGAGGGAGAGTGAAAGAGATGGCATGAGAGTGAGAAAAGCGTAGGGATAGAGATCCAAATAATCCAGAGTCATGAAATAGAACTCCGCGGGCCGTCGGCTCGTGCGGGTCTCGCTTTTTTAGAGTCGTTGTTCGTTTAGATCTCTGTGGAATTTTTTTTCCTTTGCTTAAAAATGTTGTAATTTGTTGAAGTTATATTTTAATACTATGCACTCGTAGAAAATGTTAGGAATTTTATTCTGATGAAGAAACATCAGCAGTTTTCGCATTTAAATTCACTGTTAATCTGAAAGTAACAAATTCATGTTAATTGATACCAAAAATATGGATGGAATCACGAAGTGCAACAAACTTTTTGTGGCAATTTTGATGTTGGTTTGTTACTTTCAAGAAAACTGATGGATACTATATGCAGCATTGCGTCAGCAATATGCGAATATTTTTCTTCTCTTTGATAATCAGAGGAACTTGCAGATTTCTAAAAAATCGAGATTCACTTCGTGGGGAAATTTTCATGATATAAATCAAAGCTGTAATTCAATTTAGAGAATGTTTCTTCTTTAGAATATGGATGATACAGATACGGATGATATGGTTATGGATGATATGGATGATACGGTTATGAATGATATGGATGATGCAAAAATTAAAGGAATATTCCAAAGGGTTGTTTTTTTTGTTCAACACCTTGTTTCGATGTATATATATTTATACGCTTCTGGCGATAATTATCGATTGGAAAAATGTTTGGACAGGCAATAAAAATTGGATGATGAAGAGGCTGTGGGTATATGGCCCTCGTGTGTGGTCCGGTCGCGTGTAAACGTTGGCATTGTTACATTCTGATAATGCACGGTAGCATAGCGTTTGAGCATGGTGCGCTTTATACTTTGGTTTTACCTACAAACTACACGGTGAATCTGCACGTTCTCTCATTGCTGCCCCACCCTGCTATATATGCTATATATATATGTACACACACTTTTACAACGATCCGCCGCTAACAGCGTGCAGCCGGAACCACAGCGATAATTCAGAGGATTTTTCTTGCGGTTTAGAACGCGGCGCCGGGTGCTGTATACTTCAACAACTCGAATCCAGTATCGGAACCGCTGTGTCACATGTTTTGCTCCGAAATAAAAAGAAAAAACTCGATTACTGCATGCGACTAAAATTATATCTGACAGAAAGAGCTATATAACATAATATTATGAAGTGCTAACCAAAAATACAAATACAGAAAAATAAATTATAAATTCATCAAAATTATGTCACTTTTGTGGCATAATTAATAATAATCCGGATTTTGATGAATAAGAAATAAGTATCGACAAATTCAAGTTTGAATTGCTATAAATTGAATGAGATTCAATTGATCTTGAGAGAGAACATGGACTGCTTTAATTATGCAAATAAAACTACAAGCAACCACCGCGCGCATCTTGATTATCTTGAATATATTCCAAAGAAATAAATGATACAAACGTTAGTAACTAACGTTCGTGTAAAAAGTTATATTTGAATACATATCCGCATAAGGAACTAATTGAAAGCCTGTTTAAAATAATAGTTGAGAATGTGAAATATTGGCACGCACATATGATAAGATAATTACATTAAGTAATTGATCATTGCGCCTTGTATTCATTAGACTGATAATCAAAATATACTCCGATGCTCTTGCAAATCAAGCAGATTATTATTAATTGAATACGACATTATTATTTTGTAAATAATAAATTTTCTGCACGATGACGTACCGTTGGAAAAAAGACATATTTTTATCTTTTTGTTTGTACTATATCTAATAAGTATTATAAAAACTTGTAAGTTATATAAAAAGATAGTATAAATAAAAAGATAGTATAGAAAAGATAGTATAAATAAAAAGATGGTACAAAAAGATGTAACATACATCGAAAAGAATTATATATATCAAAAAATGAAACCCTTTTTGTAACAATAATAATTTGTCCTATATGGCGCGCGCGTTATATCAAAGAAAAAGTATATCAGAAGATCAATTCTCCCCAATGAATAAACGGCCAATCAGACCGTAAGTTTCGGCGTGTTCGATAGGATGTAACTACATGCTTAATGTTATAAAGTGCATATCTGTATCAAAAGCCTATAGCCAACAATGGGAGCATATGAGCTCTTCTAATAATATCATGCGCCTAGAGCTCCGCACTCTCGCAATGGTCCACAAAAAAAAACCGGGGGCAGCTGCCATAACTGCGATATACACTCGCATCACAAAGAGAAAATATGAGATATCTGTTATGAACAAATATCTATATCCCGAAGGAATATTATATTCTTCTACTATGCGCGCCCATAATTTTGTCTCTTAAGAATTATCCGCATGTGGGGCCTGCGGAAAATTTATATCGAAATGGTGCAATAAAAGATAAAGTGGAGAAAAATTTGATTATGCTATGTTGATTATGTGAATGGTAATCTTGTATATTTTGATGATTTTAGATCATCAAGATATACAAGATTGTAATATATGTTCACAGTTTTTTTAAGGATATCAAATTGAGACAAAAGGATCAAAATTGTTGCAAAGCAACAATTTTGATCCTTTTGCCCAATTTAATATTCTTAGAAACACTGGGTTTTGATGATCTGAATAGTAATCTTGTGTCTTGATGATCTGATAGTTGTCTCGATGATTTGAATAGTATCTTATTTCTTGATGATTTGATAGTAATGTCTGAATGATTTGATAGTAGTGTAGTCTTGATGATTTGATAGTAATATCCTGATGATCTGAGTAGTAATCTTTTATGATATCTTGATGATCTGAATAGTAATCTTTTATATCTTGATGATCTTAACAAAAAGTATCGGCTAGGTTATTTCACAGACTTTCTTAAGCTTATCCGACGGCTACCGGAAATTAGCACGTCCGTTTTGTATATCCTTGTAGAATATTCCAATTTCCGGTAACTACTGGTCATCAGTGACAAACTGAACATACGGATGCTGTCGTATAGGAAAATCTTTAAAAATCGACGAAATGGGAATGAATCGTGAAACAAAATTTTTCGTGATAATTGTTATTACACTGCAAAACTAACTATTCTAATATACATTGTAGTCACTTTAAAATGTTTAAAACATTTATTTTTCCTACCATC